TTTTTCAAAACCCCGGTGGGGATTTTTCCCCCGGGAAAAGCTTTGTTTTTTTTAAAATAAAAAACCGGGTTTTCCCACCGGGCCCCTCCCCCTTCAACGACACATTTAAGGGCCATTTTTGTTTTGGATGGTTGGAATTTTTTTTTTTTCCGAAAAATTTTTTTGAGGTTGGAATTTATTTTTAAAAAAAAAAAAAAAAGGTAAAAAATTTAATTTTAATATCTATTTCGGTATTAACCTTTTTTGACCTTTAAATGTATCCAAAATTAATTTCCCCCGCATTTTTTTCTTGTTTTTTTTTATAAATATTAAAAAAAAAAAAAAATCCCCTCCTAAAAATAATAATAATAATTTGTCCCCAAATTTTTAAAAATTTTCTTTTTTTAAAACTCTAATCAATCCCTTACTCCTCCAGGTTAATTTTTAATACTCCTAATAATTTTAATATCAATTTTTAAATAAAAAAAAAAAAAAAAAATTAATAAATATTATATAATAATATAAATATTTTATTAGGGGGTTGGGAGTTAAAAAAAATAAAAAAAAAAAAAATAAAAAAATTTTAAAAAATTTTTTTAAAAAAAAAAAATTTAAAAAAAATTTTAAAAAAAAATTAAAAAAATTTTTTAAAAAAAAAATAAATAAATAAATAAAAAAACTTATGCAGATATTTGTGAGTGGTTTTTTTGTTATATGGTGAAAAAAAAAAAAATAATATTCTATATATATATATAAAATATTTAAAATGAATTTACAATAATTTATTAAATAAATTTATATTTAAATTATAATTGAACGATATTAAAAGATATATGATTGATTTTGATTGTTTTATTATTAAAATAATATTTATAATATAAAATTTAGATTGATTAAAAATAAAAAAAAGTTATCAAAACTATATATTTAAATAGATGATTTTTAAATAATTTGGTTTTTATTTATTATTATTATTATTATTGTTGTTATTATTATTATTTTGTTTTTTTTTTTTATATATAATATAAATAATTATTTTATTGATCAAAAAATATTATTAAAATGCAAATTGATGTTATTTATTCGCTATATATATTATATGTTTTAGAAATAAAGACAATGTTATAATAACAAAACTTACAATACAAGGTTTTAAAAAATAAATTTAAACAATTATTATATATTTAAAAGTTTAAAAATATTCCTTTTATTATTATTATTATATATATTATATTATTATTATTATATAAAAAAAAAAAATAAATCACATAAAAAAAAAAAATTTTGAAAAAAAAAAAAAATTTTATAAAAAAAATTAAAAAAATTAAAAAATAATGCATTTTTTTTTTTTTTTTTTTTGAAAATGGGGGTTTTGTATTTCTTTATGATAAAGAATTTATCTATTAAAAAAAAAAAAAAAAAAATATTTTTTTGGATAATTATTATTTTGTTCCTATGTGTTTTATTTTTTTTGTGTGAAAATTTTTGTGAACGAAGAACCTTTTTTTTTTTTCACACCATCTGATTGAAATCGATATTGGGGGTGATTTAATATAAATAAAAATAAATAAAAAATAACACAAACAATATATAATAATAAAATGTAATAATAAAATAATTTTTTTTACTATAACTTGATTGTCGTATTATTTATATTTTATTATTATTTATAAATGTGGAGTTATTTGTAATTCTTTTATTTACCAAATTATTTTTATTAAAATAAAAAAAAATAATAAAAATAATAAAAATAATAAAAAACAAAAAATAAAAAATAAAAAAAAAAATAATAAAGTATACCTTTGCTTTTTTTTTAAATAATTCAAATATATTTGTTTTATTTATTTGTTTTGTTTGAATGAATAGAAATTAAAATCAAAAAAAAATTAATTTATATTTGTTATTTTTTTTTTTTTGATTTTTGTGTAGTTAAAAATAGAAAAAACAATCTTTATTCAAGTAATTTTTTAGTGCGAAAAAAAAACTATTAAATTATTTCAATTTTTTTTTTTTATTTTTTTAATTTTTTTTTTTTAAATTTTATTTTTAAAGATTATTTGGAGAAAGATTTTGTGTTTCTTTACAATAAACCTCATATATAATTTATCAAACTACCACTTTGTGATTTATAGGACATACAAAATTAAAAATCGCTCACCCAAATTATAGTACCTTACCCACTAAACACACAATAGTTTATTTTTTTTTAAATTTTTCTTTTTTTTTTTTCTTTTTTTTTTCAATCGTAATTTTAATCATAAAATTTTTATTTTAAAAATTTTAAACTAAAAAATATTATACAATAAACTAAATTTAGATATAAGATCCAAGTTTTGTTGTTTTTCGATTTTGTTATTTTTTTTTATAAAATTTTACCAAATAAATTTATTATATTAACAAAATTATATATATTTTTTAATTGTAAAAAAATTATAAAAAAAAAATTCTAATAATGTGTGGTATATCAGCAATAATAAATGGGGTTCAAATTTTAGATACAATCCAAACCACAAACAATATCGAAATAAATAATAGTAGTAATAATAATAATGGTAATATAATAGATAATAATAATAAATTTATAAAAGATATTAAAGAAAGATTATTAAATAGAGGTCCAGATTCAATTGAAGAAAAAATTAAAATTATAAAATCAAAAGCCAAAAATGAAGAAATTACAATAGAATTAAAGTTAATTTCATCAGTATTGGGTCTTAGAGGACCATTAACAGTTCAACCACTCGAAGATGATAAAGGAAATATTTTATTATGGAATGGAGAAATGTTTGGTGGCTATGATATTGGTATTCATGACAACGATACTTGTTTGCTTTCACATATTCTTTCAGAGTTATCAACATCGAATCCAAGGGATTTTATAGATATAATTATTAAAATTAAAGGTCCATTCGCATTCTTATATTGGCAAGAAAAAGAAAGAATGTTATGGTTTGGCCGAGATGTTTTAGGAAGAAGATCACTTTTGGTTAATAGAAATGATGATCAAATGATCATTTCATCGATGGGTTCTTTTCCAGATGGTATAGATGATGCCAACCTACAATCATTACCAAAATGGGAAGAGATAAATACTTTTGGTTTGTTTTCAATTCATTTTCCAGAGCAATTGGAATCTAAGCATATCAAATTAGAAACTCATTCATGGGATTTAAATAACATTGTAAATATTGGTATTACATCATTGGATTATGATAATGATAATGATGATGATGAAGGCGATAATAGTAATAATAATAATAATAATGATAATAGTAATCAAGAGAAATCGAATTTAAATGAAAATATTGACCAGTTACATTTTTATCCATTTGGTAGAAGAGTTAAAATGAGTGTACCAGAGTATAGGGATGAGGAATTTCAAGGATATGTTGATGGGTTTTATAGAGCTATTAGTAATTCAATTTATACTAGAGTTTGTAATTTACCAAATATTTCAAACGAAATCCCAGATTTAATTAGACCACCCTTTTTACAAGATAAATTACCTAAACCATTGGTATCAAGATTGGGTATACTTTTTAGTGGTGGTCTAGATTCGATGGTATTGGCTGCAATGTCTGATAAACACATCCCATTAGAGGAGCCAATACATTTAATTAATGTTGCATTTGGTGAAGATAATTCATCGGCGGATGAATTCGATCGTGTACCTGATAGAAAAGCTGCTATACAAGGTTTAAAAGAATTACAAATAGTTTCACCAACTCGTCAATGGAAATTAATCAAGGTCAATGTTACAACACAAGAAATGGAGTGGGCTAAAAAACACGTTTATCAACTATCTTACCCTGCTATTACAATTATGGATATGACAATTTGTTTAGCACTTTGGTTTGCAGGTAGAGGTGAGGGTATTATACATGACTGCGACGAAAAGGATCTGCGTTTTATGACAACAAGCAAAGTATTGCTTATGGGAAGTGGTGCAGATGAACAATTAGCAGGCTATGGTAGGCATAGAACAGCATTTCAACGTGGGTCATGGGAGGTACTTCAAGGCGAACTCAATAAAGATTTCAATAGAATATGGAAAAGAAATTTAGGTAGAGATGATAGGGTACTCAGTAGCAATAGACGTGAGCCACGTTTCCCATATTTGGATGAAGACTTAATCAAATATCTCAACGATATCCCATTATGCTATGTATGTGATTTGTCACAACCACAAGGTACTGGCGATAAACGTATTCTCAGAGAGGTTGGTCGTAAATTAGGTTTAACAGACTCAACTCGTTTAATTAAAAAAGCAATTCAATTTGGTTCAAGATCAAGCAAGCAATTAAATAAAAACATTCCAGCTAGAATTACACAAAAATGTGGTAAAGAGGTTTTCTCATTTACAACTCCGCTTTATGACCCAAGTCAAGACCCTGCATATGATGCAATTCAAAAATTAAAATTAAAACAACAAAAAAATATTGAAAAAAAGAAACAAATTCAATTAAAAAAAGAAATAGATTCAAAAAATTTAAAAGAAAAACAATTAAAACAACAAGAGCAAAATAAATAAAATTAATTTGATCATATGCAATTTGTAAATAGTTAATTAGTGATTAATAGTTTTTTATTTTTTGTTTTTTTTATTTTTTTTTTTTTTCGTTTTTTTAAATTTTTTTTTTTTTTTATAATTTTTTTTAAATTTTTTTTTATAATTTATTTTTTTTCATTGTTTTAATCATCAATCTTTATTTATATATATAAAATAAAATGAACTCTTTACTTCGTAGATCATTATTAACTCAAATTAACATAACCAGAGCAGGTCAAAAGTTAAGAATGGACCAAAATAGAATGAGAAGTGGAAATGAAGGTAGGTTATCACAACAGATTTGAATCAAAAAAAAAATGTTTATTGGATTTAGATTGGGTTTAAATAGTGAGCAATATTTACTTTTGTTGAAGTCCAAAATATTTGTTTTAATCATCATTTACTAATAAATTGTTTTAAATTTCTTTAGATGGTCCACTCCATGATTTACCAGATTTTCACTTTGCAGGTAATTATATTATAGAACATTTCAAAATAATTAGGATAATAAATAAACAAATTAATATGACAATAATAAAAATTATATATTATAAATAATTAAAATAAAATATCTAATTTTAATTAATTTAGATGGCAGAGCAGCTCCAATTACAGCAAAACAAGAAAAATGGATGAAAACAAGAGAAAACGAACAAAATATTTTAAATAGAATTAAATCAGAAGTTGAACAAGATAGAGCTGTTGTTATCGATAAAATTAAAGGAATGGAAGATAAGATCCTTAAAACCATTAAAATTAAACAAGAGAAAAAGAAACAAAGAGAAACTTTATTTAATAACGACCAAACAACAGAAAAAAAAGAATAAAATTTTAATATATAATATAAATAGTTTTGTAAGAAAAGAAAAAAGATATTTTTGTTTGTAGTTTTTTTTTTTTATAGTTTTATTTAGAAAAAAAAATTTTAAAATTTATAAATATTTGTTTATTTTTTTAAAGAAATATTTATATTTAACGCATGTATTTTTTTTTTTTTTTTTTTTGTTATTTTTTTTTCTTTTAAAATTGTTATTATTTCATTTTATGAAATAATAATTACGCTTGTTAGTTTGTTTAAATACTTTTAATTAATGGGTTTGTTAAAGAATTAATTGATGGTGGTGGTGGTGGTGGTAAGTTACCAGATGATTGTACTAAACTATTAACATTGTTATTATTGCTACTATTAGTGCTACTATTAGTAGTGTTGCCGCTATTACTGTGATGGGAATGGTGATCATTCGAATAATCATTATTAATACTGGAGAGAGTGGGTAAGGTGATTAAACTGGATGGAAAGTTTGGTGTGGGGATTTGAAAGGGTAAATGTGAATGGGATGGTTGTTGTGGCTGTTGATTATTACTGCAAAATTGTGGGGCAGAGAATAGGTTTCTTTGGTGTGAAGGGTGTGGTATTCCTTCAAAGTAATATTGTGATGGTGGTGGACTGCTTAAATGGTTATTGCTATGATGGGTGGGGCTACTTAAAGGGTTAGAGTTGTGGTGATGAGAAGGGCTTGAGTGACTTAAATGATAAAAATCACCGTGATGACTACTATGATGACTATTGTTGGTATGATGGTGAAGAGGACTTGAGTGGATTGATTGATGTGGTTGTGAATGATGTAAAGGAGTGGTTGGGTGTTGTGGGCTTGAGTGAATACTCATTGATAGCATATTTAGTGGGGGTGTTTGTTGTAATTGTTGTGAATCGAATGTGGTTGTTTGGTCAGTAAACCCTTTTGATCTTTTTTCGACCTTGTTATTGTTATTTTCGGTTTTTTCATTAGCAATTTTTCTTTTTTGTTTAGAATTTGGACTATTTGATCCATTATTTGGTATGTTGTTTGATTGTTGTTGTATTTGTTGGTTTTGGTGTGTGGTTGGGTTAATTTGGTGGAAGGGGTTATGAATTTGTTGGTGTAAAGTATTTAATAAAATTGATTGTTGTTGATTTTGTTGGGAATATTGTTGGTGAATTGATGGAATAAATGGAGGTTGGGGTTTAAAACCGCTTTTTATCAAATCACCAATATAAGAATGTTCACCCAAGCTATTTACGCTATAGTTTATTTCATTCATATATGAGTTATGTGTTGATGTATTATTACTATTTGTATTATTACTATTGTTATTATTACTATTGTTATTATTACTATTGCTGTTGTTGTTGTTGTTACTGTTATTATAGTACATATAATTGAAGTTTGAATTATAATTATTTCCGTATACTTGTTGATTTGAGTTAAATGAATTGCTATTATCGGTCACTGAGTTGTTACAATCGAGACAAAATATTTCATTATTATTACCAAGTTGTTTGGTCATTATACCACTTACATTGTTTGAAATACATTCTTTACAAATTGACTTGCTACAAATATGGTTTTTACATTTTTGGAGTAGTTGTTTATTTTTTTGACATATGCAACATTCGGTATTATTTTTATGTACAATTGAGGAGCCATTAAAGATATTATGGTTAAGTTGATTATTTGGTGTTGCATTTGAATAATAAACATTTGAATAAAAATTAAAATTTGGGGAGTTACTGAGTATTGGGGTTGTTGTAGATGAATCTGGTGAAAGTTTGGGGGAAATATTTTGAGTATTGTTACTATTGCTATTATTATTATAATGTAAATAATTTTGTTGAATTAAATTTTGTGGTAGTTGGTTATGAATTAACATATTGGCATTATGGGATGGTATATTGCTATTGCTGGAGTTATTATTAATATTCATATTGTTTGAAATATTTTCTGAAATACTAAAATTATTATTTTCTATTGAATTCACTAAATTTGGTATTAATGGAGTTTTCTTTGGTGAGTTAAAAAATTCATTTGGTACTGGAGAGCCGACCAATGAGGAGCAATTTGAGGCAGATGAGCTGTTTTGATGTGATGAGGTTGATGTTGTTGAAGAGGAAAGATTATTAATTTTTAATTTTGTTGGAGTAGAATTTGTTGATGTTGATTTGGGGACACCACTATTCGAAGTGCTACAGCTTTTTATAGTTTTTGTGGAGGATGGTGTCGAAGATGTCGATGAGGATGAGGTTGATTTGTTTTTATTCTTATTTTTCTTATTTTTTTTAGAGGTTAGCTTAGAGTTTTTACCATTCATTGATGATTTATTTTTTTCAAAATCATCTGGATCTACACCATCAAATTCATTTGATTCTTCTTCATCATCATCTTCAATATCTTGTAATTCTTGTAAATTTTCATCTCCATCTCTCCAGTTACTCCACATACCAGTGTATCTTCCAATTGAAGTAAATGCTTTTTTATATCTTGATAAAACAGTGCTTAATCTGTTTTTAATATTATCTAAAAAAATTAAATTAATATTGATATTTAATTATTTTTGAAATAAATAAAATAAACATACCCATTTCTCTATTAAATGCAAAAGAGTCTTGATGAGATTTAACATATGATGCAATTTCAATTTGATGGGAAAAACGATATTTTTTTATAATTTCAAGATTAAAGAGGGCTGTATGTGCAACTTCTTTCCATGATTTTGAAAGGTGTTTTAAAGTAGGTTTTTTTCCAATTGTGCAATTTTCACAACAAAATTCGAATCTACTATCTAATGGACCAGGTAAAACATTTGAACCTTGTAACTCTCTCATTTCTATTTAAAATATAGAGTTAGTATTTTATTTTTTTAAAAAAAATAATAATTAATATGAAATATTTACCGAATTTACTTGGTTTGGAACAGGCTTTGCAAGTTAGTGTGTGGGTACTATCTTTATCAATATAACCTTCCCATTGGTCATTTCCTTTCCATGTTAATAAACCTCTATCATCTTCTTCGATATTATCACCCGATCTATAGTTAGACCACATTCCAGAATCTCTTGCAAAAGAAATAAATATTTTTCTATTATATGACAAAGTTGCAGTCATAATATTTTTCATTTTGGTATTTAAAACTAAATTGGTAAAAAATTATTATTATTTATTGTTTTAATAAGTATTGTTTTAATAGTTAGTTTTTTTTAACATACCTTTTTCTCTATCTGCTAATAGCTCTTTTGAGTGTTTATGAACATATTTAATTATTTCACGATAATGGGAAAATCTATATTTTTTCTCTCTTTCTAAATTAAAAAGAGAGGTGTGAATCATTTCTTTCCATGTCTTGAATAAATGTCTAAAGTAAAATTGACCTTTTGAACAATTAAAACATCTAAATTCATAATTTTTATCTTCTGGGCCTGGTATTACATTTATATTATTACTTAAAAATACCTTATTTTCTTTAAAAATCAATTATTTTAAAAAAGAAAATATTAGTAAGAGTTTTTTTTTTATATTAAAATTTGATACATACCAACACTTTGCTTATTATTGCACTTACAACAAATTAATGATGTAATATTTGTATAGTTTTCATCATATAGTAAATTGCTTAAATTATAATCGCCAATATCACCCAACTCTTGTGAGTTATTGATTAAATCTAAACTGTTTTGAAGAATATTTCCATTTGATTGGTTCGATTGTAAATTCATATTATTACTGTTTATTTGATTATGGTTGTTTGTATTCGATGGTAGGTTCGAACTGTTCGATAATGATAGTGGGATATTGTCATTATGATAAAGAGGGAAAAGTGAATAAGGTCCTCTATTTTGTTGCATCATTAAATTGTTATTGGGGTGATTATTGTTATTATTGTTATTATTGTTATTTTGATTATTAAGCATCACTGTTTTTAATGGGTTATAATAATTAATCAAATGACGATCATCAGTATTTCGATCTGATTGTATTGTTGTGTCCTTTTTTGATGATAATAAAGATCCAATTCCATTTGTATTTTCATTATTGCTAGTATTTAAAGGTGATGATGAGTTTGATAATGGTATGTTGTTATTATTGACTGATTTCGGGTTTGATAATGAGAGCAATGAATATAAATTCTCATCAGGAATTGAAGGAAATGATTTTACATCATTCATGATTTTATTATTTTTTCTTTATATATTATTAATAGTAATGGGATTATGAATGATTGGGTGATATTTTTTTTTTAACACATAAAAACTTTTTTTTTTGAAAAAAAGATTAAAAATTTTCTTATTATTTTATTATTATATCTTTTTTTGATTAAGTTTAAATAAGAAAATATTTATTTGGTTCCAAAAAGGGGATCTATATAATTAGAATAAGAATAAAAATAGGAAAAAAATTGTTAAAAAAATGTTTGTTTGTATTTTAAAATAATTAAAAAAAAAATTATATAAATAATAAGAATAAAAATAGGTTATTGGAAAAGGGATTTATAATTATTATATATAAATATAGAGGATGACTGATTTTTTTTAAAAAAAAATATTAATTTGAAAATAACAATATTGATTTATAATGAACAAAGGAGTAAAATAAAATAAAATAAAATAAAATAAAATAAAATAAAATAAAATAAAAAAATATAGATTTTTTAAAAAAGACAATATATTATAGATAGATTACAATATTATTATTTTTTTTATTTTTGATAATAGTAATGTTAATAATAGTAATAAAATTTTTAAGAAAATAATACCAATAAAATGATTTTTTTTTTTTTTATTTAAAAAAAAAAAAAAAAAATTTATGTTAAATTGTTTATTAAATTTTAATTAAATAAAAAAAAAAAAAAATCAACAAAAAACGATAATCAAATAATTGATGATTTAACTGTACATTTGTATACTTAGTTGATATATAAAAACATTCACACAAATATATATATATACACATATACAAATATAATTATTTATTTCAAAAAAAAACAAAATTTTTTTTTTTTTTAATAAAAATAATTTATATATATAATTATATAATAATAATTAAGATATAAATAGCAACAGGAAAAAAGAGCACACACACTTTTTTATGAGTACACACACTTTACACACATTCATAACACACATAAAGGAAAAAAAAAAATTAAAAAAAAAAAAAGGGATAAAGAAAAAAATAGAAAAATAAACAAATATAGAAAAATTTAATTTCATTTGATATTAATGATGTTGATATATTAGAATAGAATTTGAAAACAATGTTTTAGGATACACACTCATAACCACAAACTTTATAGTTGGAGTGATAATGAGAAAAAAAAAGTGTGTTGTTGTTTTGAGTGAGTGATTTTAATCATATACAAGAATGATAAATGATATAAATATTTATTTTTAGAAAATTTATATATATAAATAATATATATATATGTATATAAATATTTATATAAATATAATTAATTTAACACACACACACAGAAGAAATGAAATTGTGGTTTGATTATTTAAGGTTGGTTTTCTTAAATATTTAAAAAAAATATATACATACATAAAGGTTAGATATAGGGAAGGAAAAAACAATAAACTATTTCAATCAAACCAACAACAATATGATCTTTAA